GTGGTCATGCGGGACATTTAGGAGGCATTTGATTAATACGTGTAATGAAGAGATTCATTTGCTATTACTGGCTTCCAGAAACCTCCCGGGCTGACTTCACCGAGTTTCTGGGAGTGACTTTCTGGGTCTGGGTTAATTTGTGGTGAGATTCACTTTCCAGTAGCCAAGAGGAGGGTGTTCCTGTTATAGTGAGGGGTTAGAACTGGGGCAAGGAGCAGGGGTAGACACAGCTTTGAGTTGGTCCTAAAAAGCAGGGAAAGCCAGAATAATAATAGCTATTCCATACTGAGGGCCTACGAAGTGCCAGACTTTGCATCAGATCTTTAAATACATTACTTTTTACTCCCAATATCACCGCTACTACTGCACAGTACATTTACCAGGCATTTATTATGTGCCAAGTACTGTTCTCTGTGTTTTTCATGGGTTACCTTATCCTAGCCCTTACAACTGTAAGTGCTAAATACTTTTTATTGCCATTTCTTAGGTAAAGAAAACGGGATAAATAACCCAGTAGGCAGCAAATGACAGAGCTTGGATATAGCCCAGGCTTTCTGAGGGTAGAGTCCCAGTCACTGTCTAGCGATCTCATTTAGCTCCCAGGAGTAGCTCTTGCTTTTGTGCAACTTAGAGTTGATGATAGAGTCATCAAGGCTGTGATTTGCCGAGGATATGCAGGACCTTCTGGTGTCCTCATAGGGCACAGTTGAAATGTTTGCCGCCATCCTGGACACTGAGGGTAGGCTACTTGTGCCCAGCGGTCTCCTCCCCTCCTGCCCAAAAGTCCCCCAGGCCCTTTCCCTTGTTATTTTTACCCTTTCCCAGCCATCTCTCCCAAAATCTGGAATAAACCTTTTTCCATCGTTTTTCCCTTCTTGTGTTTTTCTGAGCTTGTTGATGTGTTCCCACCAGTACCAGAGCACGGCATGAGTTCCAATCTGTCCAGTCTGATTTCTCCTTCCTCTGGCTCCTTTCAGAGGAAGGAGAAATCCTGTTTCACACACAACAGACCTGCTTGGGACTTGGACTCCACCTTTCACATGATGTAGAATATTCCCTGTGCGCAGACTTGTTCTAGGGCCCAACTCTCTGCATCAACAGCTTTGGAGACCTGAGCCTACTGAGGCTGGGTCTGGCTAGCTCTAAGCCCACCTCTGGGGGACAAATGCCTTGCCTAGCCTGGGACACTCCTCTTTGTTGACCCTTCTAACCCTGCATTTCCTGTCATCCTGATCCCAGTTCAAATGGTTTGTGATATTTTCAACTAAAAGAATATATTACCCTTTGATGAACTCCAGAAGTGTATTATCATTTCAAAGCTGGGTCTCTGTGTTGTGGAAAAGGAATATATGTGACAGATACGCCAGGGATGGTCTGGGGCCAAAATTTCCTCTGAAGCTCAACAATGAAGAGATAGATATCTAGAGACACAGATGTCCTCCACTCCATTTTTTCTTTAAAGACATTCTTGACAAGTATGTGCTGGCACCCAACACAATCTTTTTTTTTTTAATTTTTTTAAAAATACATATATATTTTATTGATTTTCCACAAGGAGGAAGGGAGAGGATAGAGAGCTAGAAATGTCGATGAGAGAGAAACATCGACCAGCTGCCTCCTGCACACCCCCCATCGGGGATGTGCCCACAACCAATGTACATGCCCTTGACCAGAATTGAACTTGGCACCTTTCAGTCGACAGAACAACACTCTATTCACTGAACCAAACCAGTTTCGGCACCCAACACAATCTTAGTGCTTCTCTCTGTCATGTTTGGTGCAGAAGGGTTCCAGACTTAACGGAAGGTCGGAGCAGGGACACAATGCTGTACAGATAGGTGCTATTCTCTGCAACTGTGATTATCCTAAAGGAGACTGGTCCTCACAGTAGCAGGTGGGAGCATGGTCAGATTGTGGAGGAAGTACACTTCTGATTTCTCTTTCTATAATGCTAAGTAGAGCACTTAAAATAAATTGCTGGGCAGACGCGACACCTACACATAAGTTTGAAGGAACTCGAGGATAAAATTTTGAAAGATTGGCTGAAACATCTGGTTGTACTAGGAATTTTCCAGGTAGAGAAGGAAATGGGATTGTATTAAAAATAAAGCAGCCATTTATGTAATGGGATTAACTCACCCAGGGTTGAAATCACCTTGGCCAACACAATGGCACTGATAAAGTTCCTCTTCACCCCCAACTGGCAATATAGACCAGAATTTATACCAAAAACCTCCTGCATTGGGAATTCATCCAATCCGGAAAAGTAATATGTGTCATTGGCATGAGGCATTGCTTCTTGATGAAAGAGAAAAATAAGAGCATCTAAGGTAGCTGGGTCAGTGGAGAATTAAAATGAAAGGAAGCTGATACTTTTAAGCACTAAGCTAGAACATTTGGATGAATTGTCATCTTCTCTCTGGGTAAAATTCTGTCTCCCTCTCTGATGAGGGTAATTGAAATGACCACCCTCCCCAGTGGGCAGTACTAGAGTCACACTGACCATTCTTAATCATAAATTTTTCTTTTTCTTGGGCTGTCGCAGAACCACATGTCACGGGTTATATTGCTTGATTTATATTTTAACTTCTTCTATCACACATGAGAGACACCCTCGACTAATCAGCATCACATTCTTAGAGCTTATGATGACTTCTGCAGATGGTAATCTCATCTGCTTCACAGGGCTTCTCTTTGCTTTAGTTTTGGAGGGTGACTCATTAAAAAAAGAAAATGGCACTGTTTACTTCTTAGTGTACAAGCCATAGACATTTGATGTAGAAAATTTGAATGCAAACATAAAGAAAACACCCAAACCTTCTATAATTCCATATATATAAATAAAACATTGTGCATAGCATATGACAATTTACTTTTGATAAACAACTTAAAACCTGTGTAATTAAATATTTAGGCATAAGACTTTTCAAATAGCTGTATAGTATGTTCACTGCATCATCCCTGGTTTCACAATGAATCCCATTTGTTGAATATTTAGAATTTTTAGGTCAGAAATTTTGCAGCAGTGAAGGTTCTTGTTTATTTTTATTGACTTTTCCACTCACCCATGGTTATTTTCAGAAGGTAAATTTTCTACGTGTGGAATTGCTGGGTCAATCAATGTGCATATTTTAAGGCTTTTGCTAGATATTGTCAAACTGATCTCTTGGAAGGTTGTGCATTGTATTTCTGAATGCAATTCCAAGGATGCATGTTTCCTAGATGAAATGGGCCCTTTTATGACTTTGTCTCCAAATTATAAGACTTTTCAGATTTGACACCTATGAATTATTTTATAAAAATAGTGAATTTCCAACATGACTTCTGCCCATGTTAGTAGCTAAGTTTGTTAGTCAAATGAATGAGATTGTTTTTGGATAGAGCAGTACCGAATTCAAAGTCTTTAATACAAAGGACAGCATGGAATATCAGTTTAGAAGACATGGCTTTGAATTCTGACTCTATGATCTGAAAGAGGTTATCCTTTTAAGCTTCAGTTTTCTCATCTGTACAATTAAGACCCACTCTGTCCTGTTAACTGGTTGGTGAAGTGGACCCCGTGGTCTAAATGTGGTTGATTCCATTTCCACTTAGAGGAGTAGGTGTTTATTTTTCTTTTGGTTTTATCGATTTATTTTCAAAAGGCACAAACACTTAGACAATTTAGATGCAAGTTTAAACAGAATTGCTCTGTAGATGTCAGCAATGAGACCAAAACACGTTCTGGCGGCCAATACTAGCCTGTATCTTCGCATTTCTTCTCGGTGAAGAAAAGAGTCTCATCCTTTATTCATACATATCCTTCTCATCTGCAATGTAACCTACAATTACTTCTGGACAATCAATTTATCTGCATCTATATCAGGAGTTTCAAAGCCAAATTTGTTCTCCAAAGCCATGATAATCTCCACTTGATCCAACTGTCTCAGCCCAGATCTTCCATAAAATGGGAATTTACTGAAGGCTTCTCTGGGCCGATCTTGTCATAGAGTTTCAAGACATAAAGAACACAGTCCTTGATCCCCTCTAGCATCACTCTACTGGCATGTACTTCTGCCCGGTTCCTGCTCCAGCACGGAGCTGGGAGCCCTGGGCCTCACTGGGTTCCCGTGGGGCGCAGTGTGGTGCTGAGTGGTCGGGTTGCAGCCAGTGTGGGAAGCTGGGGCAGCTACACCAAGGCCGCAGGTAGACAGTGGACACAGGTGGAAAGGACATGAGCTGCCATGGCTACCCCGACTCCAATGAGTCAGATTTGATTGATGTAAACCCAAAAGGTCAATCCTATCAATTGCCTTGCCTAATAAATGGGTCAGAGATGAGCATCCCAGTTCAAATCCATCATCATATAGCATTGCAGTATTAGATTATATTCAAAACATATCAAGTTCATTCCATCTGGACTCTCTCCTACGGAAGGATTTTACTTCCCATCCTGCTGACAACAGGCTTCGGCAATGGCTTTCTTTGCCCTACAAAATGTGGGTGGAAATTACATGTGCCACTTCCAAGTGGAAATTAAGAGCCAGCATGTGGTTCTGCAATCATTCTTTACTCTGGCCACATTAATACGTCCTAGAAACGTGTGCTCCTTTTGTCTTACCCCCAGAATGAAGAGGACACGGACAAAGTCTCACTTGTTTTGTAACAGCCTATGTGCAAGTTGAATGAAAAATAAAACTGGGGTTTTTAGGGTCATTTGTCACCACAGCACAGCTTGGCCTAGGCTGATTCACACACCATTTCTTGGGTGTGAGTGAACATTTTGCCAGAGTGTGTGCCTTACCTCGTTTCCTCTGTTACAGGTAAAGCTCGGGCATTTTTGACACATCTGGGAGAAGAGGCCCTCTCTTGCTTTGGATGCTGTGATATATGGTGGTGTCACCAGGAACTGATGTAGCATTTGGTGACTGCATGATAGAAATCAGTCAGAGGGAAAAAACAAACGTATAATAATGACACCAAGAAAACTAAAGAGAAATGGAACCAGAGCCCTAAAGCGACTTTGAGTTGGATTTTCTGTTATTCGCAACCCAAAGCATCACGGCTGATTCAGCAGAACATGAGGTGGGAAGCATGAAAACAGGACAGCACCCAGAGGGGAGGATTTCTGGCAAGTGGATGTGCTCCTGGTGGTTGAAAAAGGACACAGGTGGAATTTGGAAGAGCCCCAGGAGGTCAAGAATTCTGACATTAGGGTGTAATATGCTTATTCCACTCTGGGGTAGATGCTGAAAACTGGATGGGGGTTAGTGTGAGGAGACTGGCCCTGGTTTCAAACACGCCGATTTCTAGTTTCCCAACTCCATACTGTGTTCTCCGTGTTTTTACAGGCCTCAGCATGCTTTTCCCTGCCTGCCGACCCTCCAGGACTTCAAACGCTGACTGGGTACTCAGATGTCTATTTCCAGCCTGCTGCTCTGTCACTGTCTACACTCTTACCAGGGAGGTCTCTTCCTGGATTTATCACTGGACTGGTAGGTGGCTCACTTAATTAGCATTTGTAAGAGGTCCAGCTCTTTATTGGATTAGGGGTAATTAGGAAAGCAGAGCCAAGAGCTTTTTATTATTCCCTTCCTCTCTGCTGGTCTTTTTCCTGCCTCTTCTGGAGACGCTGGCATTGATGTTGACTTAAATGAACTTGAACTTGTTACGCTGTCTCCTTTCATTTTTCATGAAATGGATTCAGAAGTCTCCCAGGTCCCACAAGAGAAATGCTTTCCAAGGGTCGGTCGATTCTCCTATATGGTAGGCAAAGTCAATGGTGGTAAATAATGCAGGTTTGTGATCTCCACAAAGGGCAAGGTGTTTTGCAAGCCACAGGCACTAGTAAAGCCCGCTGGATTCTTACGGCTTTCTCTTACAAGAAATTCCTCTCCACGAGCCACTTGGGACATCTTTCCGAGGAAGTTCCTCCCCACAGATAATTCAATGTGCCCTGAAAACAATAGAAGTTAAATGCTATATTCTTTTGAATTTTTTTTCACATCTTGATTGAAATTTTTTGGCCCTGCTTTTCTTATTTTACCACATAGATAGAAGATGTGAGGAGCTGAATGTTGGGTGCTAATAACAGAAATCTGCAATAATATGATTTAACAAGATGGAGATTTATTTTTTTCTCAATTGCAGGCAGCGGGGGGAGCTGACTTTCTTTAGTTGTTACAGGGCTCCTATGTTACAACCCATGTCCCAGGCCTCTGCCATCCCTTTGTTCTGTCATCATTGGCATGCGACTTCCATCTTCAAGGTGCAACATGGCCATGGTGGCTCCATATATCAAGTTTATATTCCAGGCAGGAAGAAAGAGGAAAGAGGGGAGAAAAAAGCAAAAGACCTCCTAACTAAATGAGCACCCCTGTGGAAGGCCTTATCCAGAACTTAGTTACCTTACCCCTATCTCCAGCGGAGGCTTGGAAAAGTCATTTGGCCACAGGGCACATTGATGCCTCTCACAGGACCAGGTTTATTAATTAAGGAAGAAGTAATGATGGATAAAAAATAGGCAGTATTAGCTTCTAGCATACAGCATCCCTAGCAATATGTCTTAACTAATCACCCTCCCAAATAGTTCTATTATGTGTCAGGTTGGGTCAAAACAAACCCCTCCAACGGTCATAGCCTCTGAGGTCCTCCGTGACTTATGAGAACATGGAGACTATTTTATGTGGAAGACTATTAGAGAATCGTTATTTGCCACCTGGTACCCAGCAATGACCCATGTACAATGGATGCAGAGGGAAGAGCCTTCTCAACCATTTTAATCAGTTGAACATTGTGCTCACGTCCCAGCTGCCTTCCAGGAGGCTCACCTGCAACTTGTCTGGGGTGAAAGGGACAGAACACGCTGTCCTGGTGCTCTCTGTGCAGGAGCCCTGTCCAGTCTCTTGCTCTCCCGGTTGGACCTATGTTCTCTCCGGTGGACTCAGCAGTGCGTTTTTTCAAGTGGGTTGCTTAATTTGTTAGATATCAGTTGGAATGCACCCCAACAGGGGATGCAGGAGGTCACTTACGGGATTCTAGACTTGGGGCAACAACAATAAAAACAAAAGTTTCTCATTGTGCAGCAATCTGGCCATTGGCTATCTTCAACATCTTTCTGCTTTATTTTTATTTATTTTTTATTATTAATTTCTTTATTGATTAAGGTATCATATATTTGTCCTCAACCCCCCATTCTAATCACCCCCCACTCATGCCCCCACCCCCCTGTTGTCTTTGACCACTGGTTAGGCTCATATGTGTGCACATAAGTCCTTTGGTTGATCTCTCCTTTGATCCATGGCTCCTTACCTCTGGGTCTGTTCTTGTTCATCAGTCTATGTTGTTCACCATTTTCCCCAGATGAGTGAGATCATGTCCTACTGGAAATATACTTCTAAGAATAAAAAATGAGACAAGCTATAATCGTTAACGATCTGCTTTAGAGAGATCATGACATATGGTTGTGGAGAGGGGGCAGGGTAGGGAAGAGACTGGACAATCTCCAAGTTCAAGGTAAGGAAAACACCCAGCTGATAGCAGGAGCTCAGGCAATGTGAATTTCTTCCTGTGCCCTTTGTGGTTCTGGGGTGAGGACATTTAGAAATTGCCAGGAAGAACAGCTCGCAAAGGCATTTATTCTCAACTCATTTTTGTACTATATCCAGAGATAATGGGAGGAACGGAGGCAAGAATGCTGAGACCTTTATCATGGCAAGGATTACAAATCATCTTTTTGGGGACTAACCATTTCGTATTTGTGGGTTTTACCTTCTCTGGAAGCTATCTCCATCAGCAAAATGCAGCTTCCTTCTCTCCCACCACCCACCCTGCCTTGCCTCCATCAACTGTTGTTTTTCGAGGGCAGGAAGCAGAACGAATACACCCTTTGAGTCCCTTCTGGCATCTATGAACTAGGTTGTAGTTCAAGTGCGTGGAGGTGGCATCCTTCCGAGGAGGTCTCTGTGTCCTTATCTTCCACTGATGCTGTCTTAGAGCAGCCACAGTGATAGCCTCTGTGCATCCCCAACTCTGGATAAATTCTCAACTCCCTGAATAACCTCTATAACCTTTTGTGATCTGGCCTCTGGTCATCCACGTTTTCAGCCTCACATTTGATCACTTTCAAATATGTATCTTATAATCTAACTATATCAAGCAAATAATAATAAAAGCTGATATTTTGGGGCCAGCATCTATACAGAAACTCTTAGCATTAACTCTATTTAGCTCAAAGTGGGAATTTTTGGAAATGGGATTGCTGGGTAAATTAAGGTCTGTGAGGCATACTCCTTAGATATGCTTGCATACATTGCTCATTGGCTTTGGCTGTTCCATTCTTATCAAATTGCCTGAGACCATCATATGTCTTTAATTACAATTTCCCTTAATTCAATTTCTGGTTGGTGCTCTTGGGCTGCTGGGCTGTCCTTCGTACTTCCCCAGGTCAGCACCCTGCTTTATCTACATTCTCTGGGCTGTAGCCACTTCCTGGAAGCCTCCTGGAGCACTTGCATTTCAGCCTGTAGATAGACATCTTTCCTTTGTCACCCTTAGGGAGATCCAGCACTGTCACCTGCCCAATCTTGACCAGCTATTGCGGGTCAGCACTGGTTTCCAGAATGCAACATAAATGGCAGAATGGAAACTAACAGCAGGGAAAACTACATACCTTGGTGCATCTCTTCCACACAGCTGGTTCTGGAGCTTCCACTGGTGGAGAACACGCACGTGAGTACAGAGTGTGTTATAATGATTCATTCTATGCAATGTGCTGCAATCATTTCTATGTATATGCAGCATAGCTTAATAAAATTATATCAAAGACAACTTTATAACAAAGCAGCGTTTTAAAGAGGTTACAGCTGTACAATTATTCCCTCATTTGCTTCTTGCCAAAATTCTATAATTTAAATAAATTAGATTAAATACTGTTATTATTGTACATGCAGAAACGGAGGCTTGAGATAGCTTAAGTGATTTATTTTAGGAAGTTTAGATCAGAATAATTCAACCACTATGCCAGGGGTAGCAAACAAATAGCTCTTAGCTTGATATCAGCCACATTTTGGGGGGGAGGGGTGGTGAAGAGACACTAGAGGCCTGGTGCACAAAATTTGTGCACTCAAGGGGATCCCTCAGCCCACCTGTGCCCTCTCACAGTCCGGGAGCCCACAAGGAGTGGGCCAAGCCATCAGTTGGACATCCTTAGCACTGCTGCAAAGACAGGAGAGGCTCCTGCCACTGCCCCTGCACTCACCAGCTGTGAGCCCGGCTTCTGGCTGAGCGGCTCTCCCCGTGTGGGAGCACACTGACCACTAGGGGGCAGCTCTTGAATTGAGCATCTGTCCCCGGGTAGTCAGTGTGTGTCATAGCGACCATTCAGTTGATTTGCATATTAGCCTTTTATTATATAGGATAATGTTAAGGCATTTTAATTCACTAAGAATTTCATATACACATACCCCAACACAAATATGGATTTTTGTTGAAATATTAAAAGATATGGGAGCTGTAGGTTCTGTTCAGTGTAATCACTAAAGCTGTGAAGGGGTTGTTCCCTTGAGTGGAGCATGATCTCCTCAGTTTGCCACAGTCTGCACTACTCTCTTTTGTCTTCCCCAGGACCAAGCCCATGCTGCACACTCATATCCCTGCCTGGCTCCTATGGGCATTTGAGGTTAAGACCATTGAACACTCTTTCTCTGCACTTTACCATGTCCCTCCTTTTCAGGTACTCAAGTGTTCGATAACTTTTAATCAACCAACACAATCCTTTCTGCCTGGCTGTCACTCCCTCTTCCAAACACTTTCCACCCCTGCTGACTCTGATTCTGGGCAAACCTCTCTCTTAGTCCTCCCTGCAGTATGCTGTCATTGTCCTTTAAACGCCTTCTTTACAGGAGCCCACGATAGCTGGGCTTTCTCCAAGGGTCTTGATGCTGGGCTTACTTTGCTCAGTACAGATTTGAACGATGGATGAATAAATGAGTGGATAGATGGATATGTGAATGTATGACTTGTTGACCTGAACTCAGGTGGAAACCACTTTCTACTCCCCTTCCCAGAGCATAGGAAGCGGATATGAAAAGCCATCTGTCGTGACCTGCCCTTGACTCTGGACCAGAGCATGGCATGGACTTGAACTGCTTATTCATCTGCTCAGCAATTGCTTCTAAACAACAACAACAAAAAATATTCAGGAAGAAAGGATACAATGTTGTTGTTTTTCTCTCCCAAAATGAACTTAAAGCAGTACGTAGTATTAAGCCACAAATAAAATGGGGTGGTTATTTAGCTTTTAAGAATTAAAAAGAGCAAGTTTCTCAGATATTAATCATTAACTATAGTTGAATGCTGAATTTAGCACTGAACTTCTAGTAGTGAAGAAATTCTAGTCTACTTAAGAGAAACATTTATTAAACATGACATTATATGAGCAAACAAGTTAAAAATGCCTCTTTATCTGATCCCTTTACTGAAATATTTTAGTTGACTTTTATTTTAACTAGGCATTCTGCCATCTGCAAATAATGATATTTTTATATATACTTTCCCAACAGTTAAACTTCTTCCTTTGTAATTTATTGCCATTGCCCAAATCCCCAACCCAACATCAGTTATGAAGTTCAATGGCAACCTTGCTCTGGTCCTTTCTAAAAATTTAAGTAATATGTTCATGTGATTAAAAACATGAGGTGGAAGGCTCCTAAGAAATAGCTGTTCCTTGTCCCTCTTCCCCAGTTTCTCTCTCTAGTGGCAAACCTTTCCAACTATTTTTAGCTATCTCTTATTTTAATTAATGTAATTTTATCTTTTTATAAATATACTTTTATTGATTTCAGAGAGAAAGGGAGAGGGAGAGAGAGAGAGAAACATCAATGATGAGAGAGAATCATTGATTGGCTGCTTCCTTCACATCCCATACTGGGGATCCAGCCTGCAACCCTGACCGAGAATTGAACTGTGATCTCCTGGTTCATGGGTTGATGCTCAACCACTGAGCCACACTAGTGGGGCTAATTTGTGTAATTTTAAATGCTATGCTTTTACTTCTTCTGTAGTAATTTTAGATATTGCCTACTTGACTTCTTGTTATGGAAGGTGATGATTCAACTCTCTTTTACCTGCTCTACTGTATCCCCTCACCCTGTGTACAGTATATGCCATATTTTAAAAATAAAATCCATATCCAGTCTTCGTTACTGGTACATATAATACAATAGACCCGTTTCTAACCTTTCTGCCCTACATTCTAGTCTCAGCACAGCCACCAGTGTGTGCCTTCTAAAATGCAAGGACAATCTTGTCACTTCTCTGCTTCCAACCTTACTGTAACTCAGAGTAAAAGCCCAAATCCCTAAAATACCCTAAAGCCTGCATCACCTAGCTCTCATTACCTTCTGACCTAGGTTTTGACCACCCACTCCTTTGCCCACATCTTTCCAGCAATGATGGTTTTCTTGCTATTTGACAGATATACTCTTACCTTAGGGCCTCTACTAGGGCCCCTAATACTTATATGGCTAACATTCTCACCCTCTTCTCAACCTGCCCCTCTTGCCTCTCCTCAGCAATTTTAGGTCCCTTCATTCTGTTTAACCTTTTAATTTTTTTTCTATCATATTGAAGTTACTTACTGGTTATATAGCATTTTATTGTCTGTATCCCTGTTCTGGCTAGACCAGGAGCTCCACGACTCCAGGGGCCTATGTTTTGTGTATTATTGTATGATTTATTTATTTATTTATTTATTTATTTATTTATTTTAGGAATGATAGGTAGTTAGGCTTCTATTTGAAAATGTGGAGAGTTTTGATCTAAACAAGTTTATCCAGTTGTGTTTGTGCAGTGTGTGAACAGTTTTTCAATATTTAGTTACTGGATATTTAAATTTCTTCTTTCCTATTGTGACTATTTTTATTACATTTTTAGAATGGAAAAGTATATATAGTGTAGATATGGACTTGAATTTTAGCTGCATCCTTTAGTAGCTGGGTGACCTTGGGTATATATTATAGCTTCATTGCTCTAAGCTTCAGTCCTTGTTTGTAAAGGAAGAACAGATTTATCTCATGGGGTTATCATACATACACAAAACGCCCAGTACTGTGACAAGGAGCATAGTCAGTACCCAGACAATCCCCTTGCTTTTGAAAAAATACTTTATTTCACTCGGCCAGTGTGGTTCAGTGGTTGAGCGTTGATCTATAAACCAGGAGATTACGGTTGGATTCCCGGTCGGGGCACATGCCCTGGTTGCAAGCTCAATTCCCAATGTGGTGTGTGCATGAGGCAGCCAATCGATAATTCTCTCTCACCATTGATGTTTTGTGTTTCTCTCTCTCTCTCTCTCTCTCTCTCTCTCTCTCTCTCTCTCTCTCTCTCCCCCTCTCTTTCTTTCCCCACTTCCTCTCTGAAATTAATTAAAATATTTTTAAATACTTTATTTCAAATGGAATTTAAAATAATTAGCATTTAACTGGGCAGAGTGTTTCCTGGTACATTTTTTTCCCAACTTCATTATCTTGGATGCTCTATTTCCTGCCTCATTTATAATTTTATTAGTTTTTTAATGAATTTGCTATCTGTTGGACATTTGTTAGTCTTTTAAAACAAGTATTGTGGTTATATTAACCACTTTATAATTTCTTTATTACTCAACTAATTAGTTGTTTATTTTGTCACATTTACTTCCTTATTCTCCTGTGGTTTTTTTTTTTTTTAAACTCATTTCCTTATCTTATAAAATAAGGTGAGAACTTAGTTAATTTCTTTTATTCTTTTTAAAGAATAAAGACAAGTAAAGCTATACACTCTTCTCCAAACACTGTTTTGATCATTTCCCATAGATTTTGATCCATGATTGTCATGCTTTGTATATTCTGCTATTGGACTCTGGGCACGTGATTAGAACCAGACTTTCAGGGATGGACTAGAAGCAGGGAGACAAGGAAAAGAAACCATCACAGCCATAAGCTGAAAGACTATAGACAACTACCTGGTCTGAGAATAGGAATGGGTGTTAAAATAGCTGGGGTCTAGACATACAATCAATCAATACCCGTTGAATGCCTATTATGTGCTGAGCACTGTTCTCCCCAGGAGCTTTGTCTGTGTGTCCCCTTCATGCCCATAAGTGTTGTGACACTGTTTCCTTCCTTTTCTTCTGCACCTGAACAATAGATAGTCAAATGACTTGCCCCAGATGCAGAGCAAACACAATGCATTTCTCAGGAATCCCAGTTGGGTAGGCTCTCCACTATATCATGTTATGAATCTCTTATAGGCTTATGTGGGGGTCAACTCTTATTCTACAGAATGTCAGTGATGAGCATTGCTATCTTTTACTTAACTATTGGGTACAGAAGTGGTTTTTGCTTCCTTTGCAGTGTTACCTAAGGGTGGGCAGGGGTGTCAATGACAGCAGTTTTACGTATAGGAGAAGGCTTCCATGTGGAAGAGCTTGCTGATCTATTTCAAAAGACTCCATAGGCCAAGCTAAGTAAGAACAAAGTGCAGAATATGAATTGTAGCTACAGTTAATTAAATAACCACTATGTGCCAGGCACTGCTCTTATAAAAACATTATATGCATTATTTTAACGAATGCTTACCATAAGTTACGAGAGGTGGGTATTATTATTTTTATTCTCTCTTATGTATAGATTAGCACATTGCCTCTCCGAAGTGTTAAGTAATTTATCCCAAGTTGCAGAACCAGGAAGTGGCACAGATGGCAATTAAATGCAGGTTATCTGACTTCAAAACCCAAAACCTTATCTTTTTCTCTTAATTGCCTCTTCTTGGAGCTATAACAAGGCAGACTATTAATCAACATGAAAGAAAATATTAAGGATGTGCTGCTTCAAGAGTTGGTAGGCCATTTGCTGCTGGAAGGATCCAAGCAGAAGCCTGTGATCCTCTGTCCACAAAAACAAGGGGACTGCATAGCCTGCAGCTACAGGGACTGACCCTGAAGAAAGCCAGACAAATTTGT